AAGGTCCAGCCAGATCTACCGGTGGACTGTTAAGTTAGATTTGAGCCAAGTGCTTTCAGCGCATACAACTGTGCCTTGAGGAAGTGGAAGTGGCTGATGTACCAGGATGACTTCCATGAGTAGGATGCAATTTGGAAACTGAGGGGAGCAAGAGCATCGAGAGTGATGGAGAGGGAGTTGTGGAGGAGAGTGACCAAGGAAGATAGGTCATTGTGGGAGGAAGCCCAAAGGCGGAGGAGTTCAGATGACTCCAGGGCAGCGGAGAGGGATGGAGGTGGGGGGGAGATTTTTTTCCCAGAAGCAGTAAGAGCTGAAGGTCAGTTGGATGGCGATGGGGAGAAGGATTGAGGAGTTAAGGGAGATGAAGCAATGGTCCGTGATAGCTTCACCAATTACCAGGGAGAAAATCAGTCAGGGTTCCTGCTCTTGATTCACTACCCAGAGATTGGTGCGAACGTAGAAATGTGGTCTCCGTAGCCTGGGATGACTCTTACCACTCAGCTCCTTGTCAACCCTGTGAGCCAAAGCCCTAACGGGCATGGTGGTCCTAGCTGGACAAGTAGTGGAAAAAAGCAGCGATATCAATGGCAAGCTATGCAGTTTGAGCTGGTCAAACTCCGGCGGTTACCCCATTGCACACCCTGGGGTCCCCAAGCCTTGGTTAATAAAAGAGTAATAATCCTTGCATTTGATACAGCGCCTTATCAAGTTGTTGAGATGTCTCAAAGCGTTTCACAGGATATATCATTATCTCAACCGAAGGACAGCGCCTCCGATAATACAACCCCCCCCCCCCCCTCCTCCTCCCCAGTGCTGCATTGGAGTGTCAGCTTAGACCGTCGCTTGAACGCAGCACAACCTACTGACTCAGAGGTGAGAGCGCTACCACTGAGCCGGGCTGGCACACAGGCTGGTTCTCGTCAACCCGTGCCGAATACTCTCTGGAATTAGGTAAGCATGGTGCTTCCCCCCCCGGGGGGGAGAGAGCGAAAGGAGAGAGCGAGAGGAGAGAGAGAGAGAGAGTGTGCACATTCCATTCCAGACGCAGGGAAATCCCTACGTGGAGGCGGCGTACAAATGTGGAGCTCTCGGTTCGGTTCGGGTCCTCTGCCGACACAGTAATCGGCATCCAGATTAGTCAGATGCCCGGCTGACCAAAAAGCAGTCCGTTTCACACCTCGCCGGAGTATTTTACCCGCAACAGGTCATTTTCAAATGACGTTTTCTGTGAAAAAAAAACAAAATTAGTCTCGGTCGACGCAGAGTCACGTTAGCGTAGTGGTCCGCCCGCTTGCCTCTTGAATCCGGGTTCGATTCCCGGGCCGGGCAACAACAACAACAACAACAACAGCAGCGAGATTACATTTGCATGGCGCCTTTCACGTCGGGAGGACGTCCCAAGGCGCTGGAAGGTGTGCAGCATTTCAGACAAAACCTTTAGGCAAGTTTCCTCACTCCACGCGCCTCTGTTTTCCTAACAGTAAGCAGGAACCCGGTTGTTGAGTCGATTGGCGGATCGCTTTCCGGGGCAATAAATAAATAACCCCTCCAAAAAAAAATGTGGTCACTCAATCCATCACTGTTTGTGGGACACTGCTGTGCACAATTGGCTGCGACGTTTCGCCCCTAAATGACACTCAGTTCACTTTACAATAGATTCCCAAAACAATAATAAATTGGTCATTTTCAATCTACGACTGTTTGTGGGACATTGCTGTGCGCAATTGGCTGCCGCGTTCGCCCACAAATATACAGTCAATTCACTTTACGGTGTGTTCTGTGAAGCGCTTTGGGACGTCCTCCCGACGTGAAAAGCGCTATATCAAATGCAAGGATTATTATTGTTATTATTATTATTACGACCTCTCGACAATGTGATAAAATGCGAGGATTATTATTATTATTATTATTATTACAATGCAGTGTTCGGATTTTTTTTCACACAAGCAAATTACCGATTGAAAATTGACCAGTTTTATATGTATGTGTGTGTGTGTGTGAGAGAGACAGAGAGAGAGAGAGAGAGACAGGGAGAGTGAGTGAGTGAGTGAGTGAGAGCTGCTTTGCACACTCTTGTGATAAAGTGTTTCTTTGCACACTTCTCTGCAATTCTAGAAAACAAAATGTGAGCAAATCTGCAGTCTTAGCTTCTGCTGAAACTGCACCTGCAGTCAGTCAGTCAGTCAGTCAGTCTGAGCACCACAGAGAGAGTGTGTATGGGTTTATGCAACGCCCCTCTGGTCCACTGTACTCTTCATTTGTACCAAAGAGTCGAGCAGGACTGGGTAGGTTCGAGGGTGCAACAGAGCTCACAATTTTTATTTGCAATATGGGAGGAATGCACATATAAGTCATCAGCATTATTTTTTTTTATTTGAACAGCAATGCAGGGTTGCATCATGTCCAGATATGTATCATTAACACCTCTATTTAGTAGCATTTTTGGAAAGGCAATATATATAATATATATATATATATATATATATATGCATATATATTTTAAAACCATCGTTTGCTAATCTGGCACAGAAGTGAATTGAGGGAGGGGACGGGTTCGGGGTGTGTGTTTTTTTGTGTGTGTGTGTGTGTGTGTGTGCTGGAACCATTATTAAATGTACTTCAAAATTTCGCCTGGGAGGCAATCCTTCTGGCTTTTGCAGGGCGAAAGATCGCAGTGGGTATTTATAGAGCTGACCACTGTTTCAGTGGGTTTGTAGGTCGATTTCGTTTGTGATTGCAGTGCTGTGTACCTTTTGCATATATGTGTGTGTGTGTGTGTGTGCACTTGAAACACTTTATTAGGGTTGCCCCCTTGATGCAAACCATTTGGGTGAGCAAATGTATCTGTTTTCATGAAACAGTACCAGGTTAGCGTTTAAAATACCCATCCCTGGGGGGGGGGGGGTCGGGGGTGGTGGGGTGGGGGTTGCTTTTATGATGGAGGGGCTTTAGCTTCAAGTAAGTTGGCATCGATCCCAGGCTGTGGCTGCAACCCAGGGGAGAGGGGAGATGAGGGAATTGTTTGTTGGTTGAAAGGACACTTGAAAAGACATGTTGCAAAAGGTAGATTTTTTTTTGAGTCAGCCCCCCCCCCACCCACCACGTAAAATAATGCAACCGTTTATTTTAACCCCCCTCTACGCATCCAAACACTAATAATCTTTTAAAAAATAACACAGTAACGTAAAGGTAACCACTCTTTTGTCTGGTGCAAAAGGGACACTTGCCATATTGAATACAATATATTCCTTTTTCCCCCCCCCCCTCCTCTCACATCTCTCTGACTCTGTCCTCTCAGTCTCTCCCCCCCCCGCCTCCCTCCTTTGCATTTTAAAAATAACCCCCCAAAACCTTTAAATAAAGAGGAATGTCTTGGTGCATGAAGGCATTTAAAGAGAGAGAGAGTGGGAGGGAGAGAGAGAGAGAGAAATGCAAAGTGCCTTTTGCGATCTTCTCTGCTTCCAAAATAAAAAAAAATCCACCCAAAGCATTTGCTTTGCTATAAAGGGAAACGCCAGATAGATAAACGTCTGGTGCAATAAGGACACACTCGGGACACATGCAAGAAATGCATCTGCTGTGTTAAGTTACTCCGAAGGAGGGAGGGATGGAGGGGAGGGAGGGAGCTTCACGTGTGTGTGATGCATATAATGTGCATTACAGTATCTACAAAGCTTTTTGCGTCCTGGGGTGTGGGTGTGGGTGGGTGGGTGGGTGGGTGTGGGGGGGGCGGGGAGGGAAAAAAAAAGCTTTTTTTAAAAAAAAGCTTTACAGATGCAGATGAAGTTTTACGAATTTCTTTTAAAAAAGGCAACTTTTTTGTTGTTGTTGTTGCTGTTGCTATTGCTGCAGCAACAAATGTTGAATCCGGGCTCCAGATCTGCAGAAATTTAAAATGCATTCTGTAACCCCACCCCCCCCCCCCCCCCAAAAAAAATCCCCCCCCCCCCTCCCCCCCAAAAAAAAAGAAGCCCCATATTATGCGTCACCTACGACAGCGCAGGGGTGGGTGAGCAAAGTGGCTGCTCTTAAGGTGGAAACGGTGCAAAGCAAACGCCTTCAAAGTGTGTGTGGGGGGGGGAGAGAGAGATGGAGGGAGGGAGGGAGGGAGGAGAGAGAATAAGCTAATTGCGGGTTTTAACATTTTTTTAAAAAAAATTTTTTGACCCCCCCCCCAAAAAATTTTTTTTGGGTGAAATGTGTGTGTGTTTTTTTTTGCACGAGATGAAACACATTCCAAGCCACTTGGTGGGGGGGGGGTAGTGGTTGGGGGTGGGGGGGTGTGGTGGTGGAAATGGAAGGGCTTTGCAACTTTTTTTTGCAACAATGTCATGTCGTGTGTATGTGTGTGTGTGTGTGTGTGTGTTGCAAAAAAAAATCTGGGCTCCGCTGGAAGAGTGATTGACAGTTGCCATGGCCGTCGCGGGGGGGGGGGAGGGAGGGAGGGTACGTCACGTGCTCTTGCTCTCCGCCCGCCCGCCCGCCTCCCCCGAACCGCCAACCGCTGTGAATCAGTGCATCCATCATCCGGGGCACTTCCTCCCCTCCATCCCCCGGGGGAGGGCGAGGAGAAGCGGTTGATTGACAGCGCGGATCCTTAAGCCCCGCCCTCCCGCAAGGCACCGCCGCCATCCCTCTCACTCGCGCGCTCCCCACCCACCCTCGTTGTACGTCAGCGCTTCACATCCGGGGCCTCCTCCTCCTCCCGCCCGCTTCCCCCTTCCCCCGTCTCTCCCACCACCACCTCCTCCTCCGCTTGTGATTGACAGTCCCCATGGCAACGGGCTGGCTCGGCCGCCATTTTGTTAGCCGCTTTTTAATCTTAACATTTTTTTTAATCATTATATCGAGAGAGGAGAAGGGAGAGAGAAAGAGAAAGAGAAAACGAGAGGGAGAGAGAGGGGGAAAAAGAAAGAGAGGAGGGGGCCCCGGGGAAAGGGAGAGGGTTATTTTTTTTGGGGGGGTGTTAAGAAACTTTTTTTTAAAAAAAGCGTTGTGCGCGTGGGGGGGAGGGGGGGAGAGAGGGAATGTCTTACCTACTCCACCTATCTATGTGATCGATAGAAGGGAGCGGGAGAGAGCTAAGAGGATAATTCGGCGTCGAAGGAGGGAAGGAGAGAGAGAAAAGGAAGGAGGAGGAGAAGAAGAAGAAGAAGAAACCCGCCGCTTGTGGTCGGTTTGAAGGGAAGAGAGACGGAGAGAGAGAGAGAGAGAGAGAAAAAAAAGGGGAGCGGCGGCGTCAAGAAAGTCGAAGGGAAGGAAGGAAGGAGGAAGGAGGAGGAATTGAGAGAGAGACCAGAGAGTAGGTGGTGGTGGGGGGAGGAGGAGGAGGAGGGAGGGAGGGAGGGAGGAAGGAGGGGAGGGTGGTAGGGGTGGGGGGGGTGGTTGGTGTTTGGAAGAAGAAGGAGGAGGAGGTGTGTGTGTGTGTGTGTGCGTGTGTGTTAAATAGATATATTAAAAAAAAAGCGGGTTTGAAAAAGGCGGCGCCGAGGCGGTGTTTGCTGCTGCGCAGGTTTGTAGTGCGCGCCATTTTGTGAAGTGAAAAAAGGAAGAGATTTTTATACAGAGAGAGAGAGAGAGTGAGTGAGTGACTGACTGAGTGAGTGAGGGAGGGAGTGGAGTGACAGAGAGAGAGGAGGGAGGGAGGGAGTGAGAGACAGACAGACAGACAGACAGACAGATCAGGGTTAGCGGGCAGTCAGAGGGCCGGCCGGCATTTTTTACCCCCCCCCCCTCCCCTCCCCTCAAAAAAAATATTTTCTTTTTCTTTTTTTTTAAAAAAAACAAAAATCTCTCTCTCCCTTTTTAATTTATTTTAATTTTTTTTTAAAAAAAGGTGATTAGACCGTCGCCTGGGAGAAGCCCTTCCCTCCCCACTCCTCCTCCTTTTTCCCTATTCCTTACTTACTCACCTACCTACCTACCTACCTCTCCTTTTTTTTCTCCTTCTTTCCCTCCTCCCTTTTTTTGGAGGGGGGGGGGATTAGGACTCATCATAATTTGTCACTGGTAACGGACGAGAGAAGAGAGAGAGAGACAGAGTAAGTGAGAGAGAGAGAGAGGGAAGGAGAAGGAAGGAAAGAAGGAGAGGGAGGGAGGGCCCGCGGTTTTAATTATAATCCGGTTGGAGATTTATTCGGAAAGAGGTGAGGAGGAGGAGGAGGAGGGGGAAAGATTGCTGTTAAACACCCCCCCACCCCCCACCACCCCAACCCCACCACCACCACTCTCTCTCTCTCCCCCTCCCTCCCCCGCCCGGCGGCGGCGGCGGCTTCTCTCAGTGAAGGACTGAGGCAAAAGAACAGAGACATAGGAGCAACGAGCGAAGAGGTTGGTGGGGCTCTTATTTATTGTTTTATTTGACTTCCACGCACACATATATACATGTATATCCCCTCCCTTGGTCCCCCCCCCCCTCCCCACCCACCCACCACCCACCCAGCTCGTGTTTTTTTAAATCACTGGAAGGACGTTGTCATGTATGTGTGTGTGTGTGTGTGTGTAAATAACCTTGTGGTTTCCAATCATTTTCTCTCCCCCCCCCCCGCCTTCTTCCTCCTTGCTAACCCCCTTTTGCCCTCCCACCCCCATGTATTAATTTCTCTCTCTCTCTCTCTCTGTATGTTTGTGTGTGGCATTTTTTTTCCCCACCCCCCCCCCCCCCCCCAAAAAAAAATGTTCTGCTGCATGTCTGGAACGCGGGTAGAAAGATGGACTCTCTTTTTTGACAGTGTTACTACTGTAAGTACCTGGTGCAGCAGTCGGGTGTTTCTCGTGCCTACAGGCGGGGGACTTTTGAGTGAAGCTGTATATGAAGACACAAATCGTGTGTGTGTGTGTGTGTTGTGTCTGTTCTAGGTCTAATGTCGAGACTTGACATTTCAGGGGGTTTCTCTCTTGCTCGGACATTGTCGGCAGGTTGCAGAGCTCGAGTGTACAGTTAAATGAAACTCGGGCCTAATGGACTGATAAGCAATCAGTCGGTTGAGATTTCGAAAATATATCTTTTTAAAAAAAAAGCTGGTAGGTAGGTAACCTGTTTAAAGGAGAGAGTGAGAACGACGCGAAAGCTCGCGGTGCCCATCGTGTGTTTTAGGTCTTGCAAAATGATCTTTGAATTTGCCGCAGTACTACATAATATACCCAGAAATTAGATGGGGACAAACTATTTCAACGGCTATTGCGTTGTAGGGGAGCCACCTTAACTTGTGTTTTGTCATGTCAGTCTGGCTATACAGAGGGAGTCCCAGTGATTTAAACTTCAATTTGGCGTGTACAGGTGGAAGTCCCATACAAACGGACTGTCCAAGCCTGGGAGCTCTACCATAATAGTTTAGAGATCTAGTGAAACGTATCATTAATGTAGACAGCAAAAGAAAATTAAAATATTGTTTGCCATATCTTACTTAACTTAGTATTTGCTTACTTCGGAACCTGGAGTAATCTTCGGTGTTTGCATCTTCAAGTAAAAATACATGAATTTTGTTTACACTGTTGTTCAGTACAACCTTATGCAACAACAACTTGCATTTATATAACGCCCTTCATGCTGGATGGTGTCTCGGAGTGCTTAATTATAGAAAGCTTTTTATAATTATCTTTTTAAAAAGAGGTTCCATTCAGAACACCTTGGTTCAGTCAACGCCTTTAATTTTTGGAAGCAAGTGGTCTTCAAGAGGGACTTTCTAATATACTTGAGGCACCTTTTCCACCAGTGGTACTTTGTGTATAGGGTTAGAAGAAGTTTCTCTGTTTCTATGTATACCAATGATGGAAAAGGGGTCTTTAATTGGAGCAGTCTTGATTATGCCCTTTAATGTGTGGAGTCTGTTGACATACAAAACTGACGTTTGACTTGACTTATTTGAATGCCTTTGTATTGACACAACATTAAATTACAAGTCTCATAACATTAGTTTTGAAAAGCAAAGGGGTAAGAAATTTGTATTTTTTTTGGAAAGTTAGTTTATAAAGACGTCGCGTGGAACTGTCTTGCTTGTGCCAGTACTGAAATGGATTGGATTCCAATCCTCACTGTGATCAGAGGTTGTATATGAATAAAGTCTGCATGAAAAGATTTTACTTTTCTACAGAATTATTGTTGCTTATTAGTACTTTTTGCTTTACAAGTTTATTACTGCTGGCTTTACCGTGCACTGTGTTAAACTATGCTGTAACAAGTGCACTTTCTTTTCAGCACTGAACAGTGTTGCATTGGATTTTGCAGGTCTGGAGTATGGATTCTTTAATAAAAGTGTGCAGCGTATGCAGGTTTTTGATGCAAATTAAGAAATAACTCTTACTGTGATTAAAAAGAACACCATGAATATTTACCTGGTTAGAATTCAAGGTGATCCAAAATGTCATTTTCAACTTGAATATTTTTACTTGTTTTGAGTTCCTAGGTTTCCATTACTTGTTACAGCATAGTTTAACATAGTGTGGATATGTTTATAGAGGACCTTTAGGATAAATCTGCTGGATCCATTGGTGCATATTTCATAGATTGTATTTGTTCTATGTGGGTGCAGTTTGAAGACTGTTGAACTATTGAAGATTACTAGTCCATAGTCAGCAAAAACAAAGTTGGAGCTCACTGTTCACAATCTGGTTGCTACTTTTAGAATGTATTTATATAGACTCGTGTTGTCACGATATATTGGTCCAGAAGCTAAAGGATCTGTATATGTATCACAGATAAGAAGATTATCAGTAAAATGCAATACCTTCAAAAGTAATGTTGGCCAAAGTAAGCTTTAGTGTATGAAAACTAGTAAATTGATGTGTGTGGTCTTGCACCACCTTTCCCTCTCCCTCCCTCCCTAAAACTTAATTAAAAGTGCTTTATCTGGCAAAAAATATTCTGTACCTTGCTGATGCATTTGTCAATGTGCTTTTAAGTTTTTATCACCTATCTATGTAGAAAAGATGCTTCATCTATTACATAGTTGTGCGGGGTACTGACTTGCAATAAAAATGGTCATCACGGTCATCAAAAAAAGCAGTGCAGTCTAACTAGGATAACTTAGAATGTTCAGTGCTGAAATATCTTTGTATTTGTTCAGGTTACGTTCCTGTGTAAAGGGCAGCACCTCATTTGTCACAGAACACAAAACCTGATGAGATATTTTTGACATCATGAATGTGTTGACTGTGGAATGTGCACCTCACCACATGTATCTGCTCCCTTCAGCTTACACTTTTTTATAAGGTACATAATTATTGATTTTCACTATAGTCACCAGTTTTGACATGTCAAGAAGTCGAAAGTAGAGTGGGGTCCAAATGAAACTTGTAAACATTGAAGGATGAATATTTGCATTAACTTTGCCTTGGTTGTACTGAGATCCTCCTGTTTTCTCTCAATGCACGTTTTTTTTTAAAAAATCCCTGTTAGCACAAGTTGGGTACAATTTCTCATTCATTCCATTGGTAGTAAAGTAATCAAAACTATTCAAGCTTTTGCCAGGATATAATTATTTTCTCTTAAATTTTTCTTTGTAGAATTTCTAGAGACTGCACCAAAAGACGAAAATAAATATGAACATATGACCATTCAATCCACATCAAAACAAGAGTTTTGTTTGTTGCTATTTGGCAACTAGATCTCTTCGGCTCTCTGTCACCAATTTTCAGGAGTGTTGTGGAGTACTTAATTGACACAGTAGAATGTGTGAAATTTTTAAAAATCAAATCTGTATTTGTAGATAAGTTTTAAGAGTTAATGCTAACTTTTAACCACTGTGATTTGGATTCATTGCTGGGTTCATAAGGAGAACCAATGTTTTGGAAAAGATTTAGAATATAGACAGTGGAAATGGCATCTCAATTAGTCATCCAGAGAATTGAATTCAAATTTTCACTAATCTTTGCCTTAAATGACTTGATGCATTACCTGATTCAATGTCTGTACTGGCATGCATATTTATGGATTGTATCGTTGCTGATATTTCTTGTTGATTGATTTTTTTTAGGAGATCTAAATTCCATATGTATCATTCATTTTATTGCTTGATCATCTTGATTGCAAAATAATGTTGTATTTTGTTTCTGCTAAGTAAATGTAACCTGCAGGAAAGAAAACAGTTAGTGGCAGTAGTTGTTTTTGATACTTCACTAGTACTGGATGAGCCTGAACTCTGAATAACTATTTCTGTCTAGGAAATTTGAGATTTCGCCACTGCTTGAAAATTGCCATGTAAAACTGGTTTAAGTCTTGAACTGTTAAATATTCTTATTACATTAATCGATTAACTAATTGATAGTTGTTAGACCAGATATATCTCAACAAGTTGGCTACAC